TTTGTTATTGTGGCTGTGACCCCAAAGGCTCCCCAGAATTTACGCCAGCAGCTAGTGCTTACCAGGTTGGTTCTCATCACGTTTTTCGTCTTTGCTGCGTTCTTTCCCAAGGGGTACATAGATTTCTGAGTACTGCATTCTCAACACAGAAATGGAGACCGAGGGGTCTAACAGCTACACTTTCAGCAGTTAGGGACAGAAACTCTTAAAGCCAACGCAGATGTGGCAGCCACTAATGACAGGCGTTCTTTCTCCAAGGAAGAACTTCAGTCAGCAGCTCAGTTTATTGTCTGATAATAACCAAGTCACTTACTTCCCATAAAAACCAGAGCCATTAAACCTAAAAACGTTGCCAAACATTCTTTCCATTTCTCTCTGCTCACCATGGAGTTTCGGTTAAATCTAAGGTTCTATTTCAGTAAGCAGGTACAAGTTTATTGCCTTGCAGTGTTTTTGTCTTCTGGAACCACCGCAAACCAGCACCTTCATAAAAGATCTTTCCTGTAATTAGTCATACATTCATATCATCATTTAAAAAACTTATCTGCTACTGTTGCTGGTCCCAGCCAAGCATCATAATTCTTTTGTTTGTTTCTTTGCATAGCAAATGTTCCAGTAAAATTAAAAGTTTAAAAACTGTGGCTTTGTCAGGTGAACCAGCAAGGTTCTAGCTGGATACTCCAGCTCCGTGCTGAACTATGGGACTGCCTGGCAGAAATCAACGTCACCGTGTTGTCCGTGGCCCAGTGTGCAATGAGTCAATTGTCACACAACCAGACACTGAACTGAGGTACCGGCTGGTGACAAAGCTTCAGAGCAAGGGAAAACCCAGGCCCCCTGCCCCTGCGTTCTTCATGAAATGAAGAGCTGCTGATTTACGTCCAAGTCGATCATTCTAGGCCGTCGTCCCTTTTATTTTCGGTTTATAATTATAAGCCAAATCCTATTCAGCTAGAAATGTATACACACAAGGAAAGGCATCTGTGGGAAAAGATGCGCTTAGAGACACCCAAATTTCCCCAGTCACCCTTCACTGCACAACCCAGGAAGGGAACATTTCACGGACAACAGTAAGGGGCAAAACGCAAGTGAGACTGTATTCCACAACAATATATGCTACTGACCTTCCGCAAGTAAAACCCGACTAGTGCTGTGTAACAGGGTACAGGGAACCTCTGAAGTCTGCAGCAGCTCTGCACGAGACCACGCTTCCCATGGCCTCAATGCCTCTTGCTGCCCTATACAGAAGACACAGGTTCACAGCAAAATTGGCGTACGTCTTCTGGACCTGAACAATTCCAAACCATGGTAACTTCTGCGGCAGATAGCTCGGGTAGCGGGATGAGGAGGAAAGGGCTGCTGGCATGAGATGTCACTGCCCAAACCCGAAAGAACTTACTGCCTGCATGATGCAAAAGGCCAACCTGCCTAAAAAGTGACCATTTAAGAAGATGTTGTAACAGCCAGGAGATTTGTCTCTGCCTCTGAAACCAGGCCACCGCTCCACAGCTCATTGCCTCTGTCACTCCAGGGAAGCGGAGCAACAAGGAAAGGAGATGATCGATGGCCAGAACCACAGTTACCAGCTTCATTAAAGTGGCTGGAAAGCTGCCCGGCGGAAAAGGACCTGGGGGTGTTGGTCAACAGAGAGCTGAATATGAGCCAGCAGGTTGCCCAGGTGGCCAAGAGGGCCAACGGCACAAGAAATAGAAGTATCAAGTGCACCAAATTTTACTCAATTTAACTAGCAACTTGCCATGAACTTGGTGGCATAGTTGTTCGAAATGATGCCAGTTGCAACCCAACTGGTACTATTCCTAGGCTTAGGCAGCTTGACTGAAAACGGAAACACAGCGTATCAAGGAGCACTCAACAGTATTTGCCTTCTGAATCAGTGGGTTTCAACTTTTTCTCACTTTTAAAACTTTTCTTTTGAAGCCCCAACTTGTCGTCTTGGGCATTTATGCCTCCTTAAAACAAAACTTGCTCATACGTCTTTTGCAGTTCCCTTAAAGTCCACAGGACCTGACACTGGAAGCCTTTCCTCTAGACATAAACAGAGTTGACAGGGGAAGGGGAAGCTTCACTTGAGCCCCTTCTTTGTAAGGGATGAAGGCTTGAAAGGCAACCAAGTTGCTGCTGTCTGCTTACGAGAAAGAACGGAGAAAGCAGCATGTGTCTGGGGAGGGGAAGGAACATTTTCTCCGTAAGACTTCAGTGCAAGTTTCACAGTCCTGTTGTCTGTACTGGGTTTCCATCCCTCCCTCCCTATCACTGCTTTGTCTGATTCATACAGGATCGCATACAGGGAAGAAGTGAGGGGTTTGGCTTTTTCTGAAGCAGCACTAATTCTTCCCTCTCCCAAGAATAAAGTGGCAATAGATGGAGAAATCCTCAGAGAAGTAAAATAGAAGGGAAGGAAATAAGATGAAAAACTTCTCAGAGAGAGCAAACTAAAACCCAAGGAGATACCACAAAGCTACACATGAAAATGGATCAGTTGGAAGCACAGATGGTAAGTCATCGGGCAATCCGTGCATCTCACAGGTGTATTTTCTAGGGAGCTCCTCTTCACTGATACAGCCAGTATTCCACG